ACTTTGCAGTTTTTGGTCAAGAAAAATCAGGGTGCTCCCTGTTGATCCCAAAAAATGTTGCCAACAGATGCCGGGCCCACTCGTGTACACGTAAGCTAAATCCAACACATTAGTGCCGATCAACGGTCAAAATGTCCCCAGAATCTGAACGTGGGAGGAGCTCAAAGACACGAGACGTTTCCGTTCAACCTCCGGCGAGATATCTAGAACACAATTGTATTAAAAACCAATCGATAAAGAACAAGATTTGCGACAGATTTGAACTGATAAACGAGAGAGACGATATTGTTTCAAGTATTTAGAATTTCATTAACAGGATGTGGAAAATCAGTAGCAAACATAGTCTTAGTAGATTGTGATAGAAGTTTTTGAAATGTGTGGTTAAAAAGTTGTGGGACCCATAAAATATGTTATTAAAATTAATTGTTGATTTTGACTTAGATTAAACTCTAAATTTTAATTCTTACCAAACATGAGCTTAATAATTTTTTTTGTTTGGCCCTAATTCATATTCATTAGAATACCTAGAAAATTCCACGTGGCTATTTAATTTGATGAAAGAGTAAAATGAGGCTTACACTATATTGATAGTGCGAAACGTTGTAACATTTAGACAAATATTTATATTTACACTGATTTCAAGATAAAAATGGTAGGGTTTGAAAATAAGTCAAAAACCGGTTAAACCAAACCGTGTTCGCTCAAATAGAAATGGGTAAAGTTCATCGAAATAGAACATAAACAATATAGAATGTAACTACAAAATTAACTATTACCTCTTGAAGCCATAACATGAAATTGCATGTTTTACGAATTCCAAAAGTGTAGTGGGTTTTCTTGGAGATAATAGGAAACTTAGTCATAAGTTGTAAATTTATAGATATCATTTGTCGTGGAAATCTATCGAGCGAGCACCATTCATCACATCAAGAACGATGATTTAAACCTACGAGGCGCACCAAATCTAATATTCAGACATGATTAGCAATAACGGTTATATTTGTAATCGTAAGTGTACGATGTTAATAAATAAGTAGCAAGGTGAACCTAAGAAGCCCGAATTTTCATTTACATTAGTACTATCTACCAGACTATTAGTTTAACTATGCCTAACTTTGATTTGAGTAAAAATAATTAAAAATATATTTTAATTATGATCCTAAATGCTATAAATCTAAGAAAATAATTAAAAAGTGCACAAGTAGATGATTTAGGATTTTAGTTGCCATATGAAAAGTGTCAGAATTCACGAATTCACCGTAGTTATCCCCTTAATCTCAATCATCGGATTTCGACGAAAAATTATTGTATTTACTCGGTCGAATTTCTAAATTAATTGGTTTACCCTCTTAAGTTCAAATCAATCATACTCAATTAGATTCTCATTATATCTCTACATGAATTAGGATAAGTTTTAATCAAGAGCGTTCATTTACTAAAGAGTTCAATTAACGACCGCATAATTAGTCCAAGTGTATCTCTACCTTCCACCAAAATTTCAATTTTTACTACGTGGTCTAAATAAATAACTCGCATCTCGACTTGTTACCATAACACAATTCAATTAATTAGTGATCAAGTAATTCAAAATCATAAACAAAGAAGTAAAAGTAATACATATATATCAACGAAAGATCAAAACATTATAATTAAAATAAATGTTTAGAAGTAGATTACAAACGTTCGTCCTACTTATCGTTTAGTTACACATCATGGGAGAAGAAAAAAATTAAAATATATCATAGGGTTTAACATGAATCCTGCAACTTCCAAAAGCATCTATATTGGTCCAAAAGCTCAATAATCTTCCAAAATTGGTCATTCTTAAGTTTCGGCAGTGTGAAAATTAGTCCCCAGACTTTTCAAATATTGAATTTCACTCCCGTAACATATGACTTTTTACCAATTTCACTCTTATTACTTCTTACAAATCCCATGCTATTCAGTTAGTTTTCAATTGCTTCGAATCATTTTTAATTAAACTCACAATCCTTTTTTTTTCCTCCAAATGCGTCCAAGTCTAAGTTTTACATACAATAACAATATTTAAACTAAGATAGGTAAAAATACGCTCAAATTTTTAAATTGAACTCAAGTTTATAAGTAGAAAAAGCATTTAAAATACATTTATCATTAACTCTAGAGCTTCCAATCAGGGGCATAGAGCCAACCTTAGTCAGCCCAATCTCAATTGGAATTTTTACATGTAAAAATAAAAGGGAAAATTTAATAACTAAGAGGTTAAGTTTCGCCATTTTCAAATTTAAGAGATAAAGTTTAAAATTTCAAATTTCAGATTTTTTAAGGTTCAAGTTTCAAATCTCAGGTTTTTTTAAATTTTATTTATAAATTAATTAGTTAAACATATATTTTATTAATTAAATATATTAAGGTCGCAATTCCATATAATTTGGTCACAAATTTTATGTAATTGGTCACATATTATTAATTTGTCAAAAATCACAAATTTTACATGTCATAAATTATTTTACAGTCACAATTCAAAAATTTTGTATGTCACAATTTGTTCATCGCCCACAAATCAAAAATTTTATAAGTCACAAATTATTTTACGGTTACAATTCAGAAATTTTATAAGTCACATTTTGTTCATCGATCACAAATAAAAAAATTTATACGAGTGTTGAATAAGTAGCCAGATAAATCACAAATATTATAAGTTACAACTTAGTAGACAGTCACAAATTGTCAAATTATCGATCACAAATTAACAATTTTTTAGGTCACACATTATTTTTTTATCACAATTTATCTTTTTCATTAGTCGCATATTGTTTATTTGTCACATATTAACCAATTTAATGGTCACAAACGATCAAATAATCTGTGACCATCACCTCACCACTCCCTCCAGCAACACCACTGCCACCGTCACCGCCAGAATCACCATCACCACCACCTCAAACAAATCAACACATCGCGGAAAATCACCACCACATCCTCACACCGATCCACCACCACCTCGACAGGCCCATCACCACCAACACCTACTAGCAGCACCAACATCGTCTAGCCACTGCACCGCTGTCGCCAGAACCACCACCTTACGACAACCGCAGCACCGGTACCATCTCAAACAAACCAACACCACCACCAAATACCACCACTACATCGCCGTCACAACTACTTTAACCGTACCACCACACAATCGTTTCCATACACACAAAACAACACACATACACCATAGATCATCCAATCGCCGTTTAGCAGGAATCGCCCACCACCTACACCAACAACTCACTGCCATCACCACCACCGCAATCGCAGCCGCACCACCACCATATCGCACCAATTGCATTCAACACCAGAACAAACAAGATAGATCAACTAATTGAGTGTTTTACCTAACTACTAAAAACCTCCCAGGACCTTCTTCCCACACCAAATCCATCACTAAAGGTCCACCCTTAAAGGTCATCCTCGCCGAGCGCAGCGAGAAGCTTGCTCGGCAAGCGCCGCTGCACAGCGAGGAGCCTGTTCGGCAAGCGTCGTTGCGTGGCAGTAATGTGTAACGACTGCTACGTACAGTGGAGTGAGCACGGTCGTAGCAGCGTCGCTCAATCCACTGCATCATCATCGCCGTGGCAGTGGAGCTCCTCCTTTTCGGTGGTTTAGAGAGAGAGCGAGATGGAGAGAGAAGGGAAAGAGAAAGGTAGAAAGGAGAGAGATGTAGGGTTTGCTGAGAGTTGGAATCGAGGTTTTATCTATTTTAATTTTATACTTTTAAAAATTAAATTATTAAAATTTTAATTATCATCTGATTTTTGAAATAAAAACTTGTGATTCTGAATTTTGAAATTGGAAGTTTAAAATTCTAATATGATGTAATTTCCACAAAATAAAATTTACATGGAATTTTTTATAGGGCAATTATATTAGGCCTTTATTTGAACCCCATTTTTCCCACCAAAACATATTTTTGAATAGTGATGTAACATCATTTTAATCACATTTTTCAATAAATAATATTACACGTAAATTCAAAATTTTTCCTTATTTTTTAACTTCTCATTCTCCATCATAACACTATTACAAAATGCAGTTTTTGAAAGGAAAAAAAAAAAAAAATTGGGGCTCAAAAAAGCCATCAGTTTTTGTTAATTGAACCACATTTTAATTATAATGAAAATCCTCAATTTTTACTCATTTTCGCACTTATATTCCTAACTTTTCTTCGTCGCATTTTTGTATTTAACGCTTCGTTTAATTAACATATCTTGTCTATGATGAATGTTTATGTCCAAATATTCTATTAGTGTGGGAAATATTTTGTCGAACTTTCGTATTTGTTGTTTATCTTGCTTATTTAAATTACAATGGGGCAAGTAAGTCTTTTTAATCCTCTGTAACGGACTTCCTTTTTGCCCTTAGGCCAACCCAGAAGCTCCTCTTGTTATTCTCGCGTCTCTTTGTGTAGAATAGGAACAAACAGTCAACATTGCAACTTGTGTCACTTGCCTGCCTGCAGCTAGCCATCCATTTCACAATGTGAATCTTTAATATTCCCTTTGATGAATTGATGGAACCATCTAAATCAAAACAAAATACTATTCAACACTACAATTTCATTCAAATTCAAGAAATTTCCAAGTGTATTCAAGCTCCATTTTCCTTCAATGATCAGTTATTATTTAAAAAAGGTAATTTCTTCAATCTCTGTACTTGAAATTATTCAATCTTAAGACTAACTGAAAGACTATTAATTATCTTGTTCTTTCCTTCAATTTTCAAAGGGTGAAGCGCCACTGTTATCTTATAAAGCAGTACATGATCTACATATATTTATCTTTGTGCTGGCTGTTGTGCACGTAATTTTCTCTGCTCTAACGATTCTGTTTGGAACCTTGAAGGTTACTACCTTCAATTTTGAGTTTGTACCTATTTTCCATTGCACCAGTGATTCTTCTTTTCATCAGATACGCCAATGGAAACAATGGGAAGATTCAATTCAGAAGAAGGAACATGATCCAAACTAGGTAATGCGTACTATTCAAATTTATCATCAAAGTTTCAAGTTCCAAATTCTTCTTTTTGTCGTGCCTACAGCGCAGCAAAGGACAGTAACTCATGTACAGGAGCACGGTTTCATCAAGCGCAGGTTTCTTGGAATTCGTAAAGATTTAGCTTTGTTAAGTTGGGTGGTAAGTCAAAAACTGAGTATAGCTGCAATATATGGAAGTAAATTAATTTGCTCATGACAGATTACACTTAACCCTCTCTTTGAATTACAGCGTTCCTTTTTCAAACAATTTTGTGGGTCTGTTAATGATTTAGATTATCAAACTCTACGACGTGGATTTATTGCGGTAAACTACTTAAGTTATGATGATATCTTACTGTCCCAGCACGTTACATATGGAGCTCACTGTTTTTTTCTGAATTTTCGTTTGTCAGACTCATTACAGGAACAATCCCAACTTCAATTTTTACACGTACACAACGCGCGCTCGAAACTGATTTTAAGAAAGTTGTTGGAATAAGGTCAGTTTACAATAATTCCATAGTTAATATCACTTTCAAAGTACGTATAGAATAATTTCATCCCTAAGAGAGATTGACTTGAGAAATATCTGTGATTTGCAGTTGGTATCTAGGGATAATTGTGGTTCTTTTCTTGTTGCTGAATGTCAAGGGTGAGGATCAGACGTCGTTTCAAGTGTATTAGGGCGGGTTGAGAAGCTGATTTTGGGCATGGAAGTGCTTTGCCTTATTAGAACTTCTAGAGGAAGCTGGTCCAAATTGGCTTCCTCAAGAAGTACTTCTATAAAAGCAGGAGCTATTCCAAACAAGCCCTTAGTCATGTTTTCTTAATTATGTGCAAGGATTTACCCGATTAAGGAATGAGAATGTCCCACCCATGGTTCCTTTAACGTCTTTCCTTGCTTGTGTTTCTGCAAGAATGATCACATTCTATCTTATGTTTGTGCAGGTTGGCATGCATATTTTTGGATAGCATTCATTCCCTTGATTGTAAGGAACCCTACAAACTTAATCTGACACTTTGCATCAAAAATCTATGGAAATGGAAATGAAAAATTGCTTATTTTATTTTGCAGCTTTTGCTTATTGTGGGCACCAAACTTGAGCATATAATTACCCAATTGGCAGAAGAAGTTGGGCAGAGACATACAGCTATTATAGGGGAATTAGTAGTCAGGCCTTCTGATGATCATTTCTGGTTCCACAAACCACGCCTTGTCCTTGTTTTGATTCATATAATTCTGTTCCAGAATTCATTTGAGATTGCAGTCTTCTTCTGGATGTTGGTAAACAAAATCTTCGGATGTACATCGTTAATTCATCTTCTTTTATCGAAGAAATACAACCTCACACTGACGAAAATGGCAGGTTATATTTAAATTCGACTCGTGCATCATGGGAGAAGTTGGTTATGTCATCCCCAGACTTGTCATTGGGTACATTTATCTCCACTCCAAATGAGCTAAACTCATATTCACTTACACACGTGCAGTCGCACAATTATCAATAACATTGTTCTTGTGTAGGGTACTTGTGCAGCTCCTTTGCAGTTACAGTACCTTGCCATTATATGCAATTGTTGCACGGGTAAGTTCAATCTCTGTTTCCACTATGAATATAAATTTCCTATATTTACTTTTCTGGTTTTCCCGTGGTAGATGGGAAGTTCATTCAACGGGGCTATATCCGAGGATCATATACAAGTGAAGCTTACTGGATGGGCTGAAAAAGAAAAGAAGAACACGGCTCAGAGGAAAGCCGTTGATGGCTCAATCCAGGTTGGACGTAAAGAGTCTCTTTCTAATGTGCCTCCACCAGCAGTTGGGGACGAGTCAAGAATGGAAGAAGGCAAAGCTCTAGAAATCGAACCCACTGCCGCCTCAAATGAACCTAAATGATCCCGTAATCAACTTATAGATGAAAACTATAGTGTATCAATCATCTTTTGACGAATTCCCAAGTTGGTGTTCATCGTGATACCAAGTGGCGATTAGCCGATGATACTCAGTTTATTGTAATTTGAATAAGTTCCCTGAAGTTATCATTCTTCGGCATAAACAACAAATTCACAAGGAGTTTGCAAACGGATAATTTGCAGCATCTGTAGTATCAGCCAATGTATATATCTATAGCATAAACATCAGCTAAAAACATTGATACAATTAACGACAACTGTCAAACCAAAGGTTAATGTGAGTGTAATCTTCTATCTACTATCCGAAAGCAAGCAGCATAGATATTACGAAGGTGCAAGATAGGGAATCAGTATTTCCAGCATTATAGTCCATACACATCGACTTTCTCCAATTATCGAGAGAATTTGCAAAAAATTAAAACGGGATGGAGGATACCAGCTTCATTACTCTATTTCAAAAGGAGGAAATTGCGGGCCGAATAAGAAAGTCATTGGGTCATTCGGTTGAAGATGGCCCGCTCCCCACGCTTTTAGGGACTACTGGAGAGGTCCTTTGAGTCCGTTCCCTTGCTCTCGCTGCAAGGAAGTTAGTGATGACTCTCATTCGGGCCCCATACTCCAATGGGTCCCTTCACTCATTCGCACACGATAGTCTTCATTTGGATTTTTGATTCGTATGAGGACCTCCCACCTTTGTCTGCGTAGGAATTTCTGAGGTAAAACCGGGTAAAACCGTTCCTACTCCCACGGGCTACTTAAATGGCCCGCCTTGCTGTCTACTCAGATGTTTTGTAAGTTCAGTGTTCTCACTTCTCATCTTACTCAATTTGCTCATCTGCTTCAGAATCATGTTCGTACTGCCCAGCTTGTGAATCGTCTCCAGTATTTATCCTCAGGCTCACTGTGTCTATTCTCCACAAGCTCACGTTCAACTTGTCCATCTTCCTTCAGCTTCGGGCAGGCTTCATGTCCGGATGGATTATCATATAGATTAAATTGTAGCAAGGTAAGCTAAATAAGAAAAAAATAAAAGAAGAAAGAAAAAAAGAAGAAGAAGTGAAGTGGATAAGTTATCATATAGATTGAATTGTAGCAAGGTAAGTTAATGGTCATGGTCCCTTTTTTAAGCTTTTTAGCTCATCAGCTTGACATTTTTGGTGAAAAAGAGTTTCAATGGTGGGGGGTCCATATCTGACGCAAGAAAGAGAAGAGAGCCCCAGAACCTGTGCACAGTGCACTAGCACTCGGCGATGCATTAAACACGAGGGCACCTTACTACCTATTGACCTTCTCCAGAACCTAAGCCTCTGGGTTATGACCCCAAAAAATATTGCTAATTTCATCCTTATGTTGGTACCATTAAATTCTCTCTGTGGTACCATTGGTAGAAATTTTAATCACTTCTAGGTAGTATTTTACAAATTTCTTTTTCAGGAGTAAGGTGGAAGTATGAAATAATACAGCTCTGCTAGATATATCCAGAGATGACCTTTTAAGACCTTGCCAAGCAAAACTGTTCTACGATGGCTCTTACATTGAAATCTTTTTATCACATACAGTTCAGAAGAATACAGTAAGCTCCAACATTTTCCAGATAAGAAATACTACGATCCTCTCAATATTAATGCTGCTCCAACCTATATCCAGCTAACACTGACCTCAACATGAACGATGAGAAAAATTTGATATAATTAAACTGACATATGTCAAATTTTAACATTTTTTATCCTTTTTCCCAGTTAAAAGTCTATGCAGTCCAAATCAGACCACTGGTCAAAGGTCAGATCGTCTATCAGAAGACCAACATGGTTTGCTTACAGTTAAATAACAAAAATATTCTCCTACTCCAAATGCATAAGAAAGGCCAAATATAAGCTGTACCCCTTTCGATGTTCTCTTGATCCTTGTCCAGGAAACGAGAAATGTTATTTATCTCAGAAGACAGAGGTCGACGAACTTCACCCAAGTCTTACATCTGAATCATCAGCTTCGTCTTCATTTTCTTGAAAAGACAGGTTGAACCTAATTAGAAGATACCGAAAACCAATGACAAAATGAGTACACATGCCATGGGGAGACATTGAGAATGAAAGGAATGAACATGACAAACCTCAAGGCGAAGTTCTTCATCATTTAGCTAGTTATGTTCAACGTGCCTACATCCACGAGAAAATCAATAAAGTGGATTCAATTTCTTCTTTTCCTTTGCTCCTGCAGTCCTATTTGATTCTAGGTTCATATGGTATAACCATTCAGGTCGTTGTGTGGGGAGCAGGGATCTAAATTCTCACTATTAAGCATTTTTATATATGCAACACCATATATGGTCTCTGTGTAAAATAGTTGAAGCTCGTCTTAGAATGAGACAGCAGCAGAACAATGGAGGACATCATTTATAGGCCTAAAAGACATTCTCAATTAAGAACTTGTGGATCTACCCATTTTTCTAACTCAAATCTCAGAAAATGCTCTCAGAAAATAAGACACTAGCCTCTTTATGAAGAACTTAAAGATGCATTCAATGTCACAATAGAAGTACCTGAAATTTGGAAACGTACCCACAATTGAGAGTGAAACTCCCCAATAAAACATCGTGAAGAATTATATGACAAAAAACAATTGAGAAAGTATAACTGGTACTACTTCAGGTGGAAAAATTATCATTCGTCAATGAGCTACTGAAACCATTAAATATGAACTTGTGAATCTACTGATCTCCTCCCCATCATCAATATTCATAGCCAATAGAATCAGCAAAGGGAATTAAGTTATACTTTGAACTGATAAATGCAGTTAGAACACAATTCACCTATCATTGACACCAATAGAATACTTTTAAACTTCATAAAGGCCAATTCTTTATGAGCTGCAAGTCTTGATGAGTAAAGCCAATTATAGCTACTGCAATGCCTCAAATAATCATGTTTAGAATAGACTTCTCTAAATGAAGACCTGGCAAGCCTGTGTACCTTCATTGCAAGAACTGTCACCATCGTCTGCAAAAGTCCCTTCTCAATTAAAAAAAAAAAAAATCTATTTCACATCACATATCAAACCAAATTGACCGGGTATACTTGACAGATGAGAGGCCAATTTTAATGTTATGATGGACATGAATTTCTTTTCATTGGAACTCTTTGGTTTCAGATGTGCGCGTTGTTCATTCTTCTCCGCTTGTCTGAATTCCATCTTACAGGCCAAAAGAAAGATGAAAACATCATTCTTATCATTTTAATTACTTTTCATTCATGAAATAATGGCAGCGAAAATATCATTTGAAATATCTATTATGAATAACACAGTACATATGTCTACATGTCGTATATAAAAATACACTAACAAGCCTTAGTTTAACTGAAGAAAACTGAAATTCCAAGACCATTAGGATTAAGTCTCATTAAAAGAATTTAGAGTGCATATGAGATGGCGAGCACTGACTCCCAGAAACCTGCTCTGGTAGAAGATATTGAACGTTATACTTGAGCCGGAACCTGAAAAATTCCGACTTAAATATTGGTGACTTCATCCCAAACAAAATGAAGAAGTTGTTGCGTTACACCCACAATCTTGAAATGAAAGCCCTGATAAAGATGGAATGCTCCAAAAACTGAAAGATTATTCCCCATTGACTGTATGTAAATTGCCTGGCCAGCTTCACCCGTGCTGGATTGTTTCTCCCATCAAACATTCCATGACGTAATAACAGGCCGGTGAAAATCTCAGCTTTTAACACAACTATCATTACAATGACTATTTCCACGTTGAGACCGATTAGGCTTCTTCGAGTAACAAGAGTTCCATTCACCTCCATCCTGCGCATAATAGTCCATAGGATAATCCACACCCATATCTCCCCTCTCTTGCACGCCTTCGTGCTTACAACAATCTTCACTCTTTGTGCACTTCAATTTCCTCTCCCACCACGCTGGTAAATCCCCAAGAGCAATCTCAGCTTCAAAAGATGTCAATAATGGCTTCTTAAATGCATCACCCCAGTCAATGGATAACCTGGGGCACGCAATCTGAACCCAAGCATCCACTGCATCTCCAAATAGCTCAATTTTTTTAGGTGTCAATTCAGAAATCAAAACAACCATATAATCCAAATTCTTTTCCTTCATCTTCTTTTCTAGCCTCTCCAATACCCTTGGACTCCCTTGCCTTCCTAGCGTCCCCAACACAATTCCCCAAATTTTCGCCCCTCTCGCTCTCTCTATCGCCCTCCTCCTCTCCTCTTTCATTCCCTCATGATCATACTCCTCCAAAAACAATTTCCCCATATACGGATCATATCTAAATGCCTTAACCCCGGGATTCGCTATCATAAATGCCTCCAAGTGGAACCTACCATCCGCTACAAAAATTATCACATAATCTTTTTCAGAACAAGCTTCTAATTTCACACTAGGAGCGGTACACCCAAGAACTTCCCCAGCAGATAAAGGTTTCGCCTGAGGAATTAAGACCTTAAACCCAAGCTTCTCAAGTTCTGGCTTCACAGCACGAATTGCATTTGAAAATTGGATGGTTCCCGCCATAATGAAACTGCTGGTTTCTTCAGGGCTAAAATTATAATTCAACTCCTGAAGGAGCTTGCGGGTGTTAATAGCAATTTCAACGAAGATGTAGAGCGCGGGGACGGTGGTGGAATCAATGGGGACGAGACAGCTGTGACCGAAGTGAACGAGGAGTTGCGCGTCCAGCGCACGAGCGGATAGGTCATCAACGCAACAAGCACCATAGGTGACGTCACCGAGTACGAAACAGTGAGTGACATCAGCGAAGGTGGTGAGTATGTCAGAGATGATGAGGGAGTACATGAGGAGGCCTTCGGGGAACTGGAGGGCGATGCGGGTAGCGTTCATGGACCGTACGCGCCATATAATCTTGTGGATCTCAAAGTTGTAGTTGGAAGGGAGGAGAGAGATAGCGGCGTTCAAAGAGGCGTTGTTTAGTATGGAGTCTGGTATTTGGTTCTTCACGAATCGCTTCGGGACCCTGCGGCCGGAAGGAAGCTGTTGCGCCGGCAGTACGAGGTCAGAGTGGATTTTGTCGGTTGCTGTCTGATCCATCGTCGCTACAGAGATAAATACTGTGTGAGAAAACACGTTTCGGTTGTGTGATTTTCATAGGATAAGCTTCGTTTGAATGTGAAGAAGCAGGTTACGCCCAGTAAGCAACAAGAAGTTGGTGACCGTGGGCAGTGATATCTGGGAATTTTCATAGGTTAAGATTCGTTTGTATGTGAAGAAGCAGGTTAAGCCCAGTAAGCAACAAGAAGTTGGTGACCGTGGGCAGTGATATCTGGGCCGTAAGATATGGGCCATAGCCTATGGGCCTTGGGGAATGTAAGGTTGTAATGGTCCAAGGGAAAATTACACAATTACCGGTATTTGAAGATTAGTGTTCATAAATCAGGTGCAAACTTTAATTAATCAAAATTCAGGTAATAATTATATATTTTAATATTAATATTATAATTAATCAAACACCCAATCCATCCCAAACCCTAGCCATATCTTTTCTCTCTCTATCCTC